TGACCCATTGCACTTGGCTTTCCATCTGCTTGGTAGACCTGTCTCGCTTTCTTCGCTTTCTAGGTGTGGAGGCTGTATTTGTCCCAGATTTCCTTGTCGATGAAATCTTCGGTAGCCCCCAAGTCGAGAATTGCATATATCATTGTTTCTTCTTGCTTTTTATTATGTTTTCTTGGTTTGATCATCACATGATCTCCGTCCTCTTCTCCCCTTTACAAACCTAGTGCAATGTAGTAATTTGCTAACTTGATAGGTTTTCCAGGTCCACATCTTAGGTCTCTCAAACTACCATTTACTAGGGACCCTCATCCCGTTCTGCCAGTGAATCTTCTGCGATCATTTCGAGGATGGTGCTCCTCTTTTAAGCTTGGAAGCGGTTGTTTCTAGCAGCCCTAGCTCCTTGGTATCTACTGTCTGGTCGGCTTCTGCATTCTTGTATATGATATCCTGCTTTTCTGCACCTCCAGCAGAGTTTTCTATTCATTCTTTTAGCGTATTCTTCCCGTGACAGGTTCAGAGCAGGTCCTGCCTTAGATTTATCCAACTCCATTGGTTCTCCTGGGGGTAATGCTCGACTTTCACCTCAAGCTGCTTGCAGTTTGAAGGTTCCATCCATGTTTCTGGATGATTGGGCCACCCTATATGCTATGGTGTTCTCGGTGATGTTTTGAACCATGTTTAGTTTACATTCCTTATCGATCGCCCATCTTGCAAATCGTTCTGCTGTTATGTAGTCTGAGTCGGAGATTCCCCATACCTCTCGTAGTCTCTCGCTGCAGTTTTCTTAGGAGGATGATGTAGAGAGTAACATCATCAAATTCTGCCTCATATTCCAATAGTCGACATTCATTCCAATATGCCGAAAAGGTCTGTTTTCCTTGTTGAAGTTTCTCCAGCTGTTATCTTGCTGTCTCCTTAGTATTGGGATCTCCGAATTGTTCAAAGAGTGTCACCTTGAATTCCTCATACGTGACCTATTCCCTCTGTTTCCTTCCATCTTGGACGGGCATGATCCATTGTCCCGCGAGTCCTCTCAGTAGAGATTCCACATAGGGAATCTTGATCTTATCGTAGTGTTCTCCATATCTCTTCACAGCAAAATACCCTTCGCATTGTGCCAGGAATATTCGTAGCTTATCTTCAACTCCTTCGTATGTGTCGGGTTTTTTTGCTTTTAGTCGCTGGATATTTCCTTGTCCTGTATTTTGTGTTGCTACTAGAAATTCCTGAAACTGATTTTCAGTCATTCCAAGTATGCTAGTGCATAGTGCTGGAGTGACCGGGACTGGTGGCGTAGGTACTGCTGATCCCAACATTCTCTCAGATCATGGGGTTCCTGCCAGAGAGCTATCGACTGGTAATCCCTTCTCTGAGGTTAGTGGGCTTGCCGCTCTTGAGGGCTCTACTGAGACATGATCTAGGGCGTCTTTAAATCCCCCTAGGTTAAGGTTTTGATCGTCGATATCAATATCTCCTTCCCTATCTGGGTTGAAAGATGCCATCTTGTATCATTTGGCATCGCACTAGGTAATGCTTTGTAATATAATGATTCCTCCTCGGATAGTTAGTTCTTGGCAACGGGGAACGATACTTCTCTTCTTCTTATGTTTCTTTTCTTAGTCTTATGATAGCACTAGGCCTCTGCCTACATTGCCAATAGTACAAGACCTCTGTCTTCTATCAGAAATGCCGATCGTAAGCTTTCTCTAACTCTTCTTCATGAAGAACCTTCCTTGGCATAACGATAATGTTGCAATAATGATAAAGATTGTAAAGGTGTTTTATATCCGTTAAAGTAATAAGCAGGAAAAGTACTCAGAACAAAGTGTGAAGAACCTATCCTCCTCGGCCACATTGGCCTCCCTATATAGTGTTCTTCCCGTCCGTAGTTATGTGACCCAAAGTGGTCACATTTGCGAAACCAAGTCATAACAAACTAATCATGTGACCAAAGTAGTCACATGCTCAAAACCCATGACCTCATAGCAAGGTCATGTGCGAAAACTCATAAACCAATCTTAACGCAATAAACAAGTCATATGACTCGAATGAGTCATATGCACAAAACCCATGACCTCATAACAAGGTCATGTGCAAAACATAAATCATATATACAAGGCATACCTGCAAGGTACACTCACAAGGTATACTTGCCAGGCGCATGTCCCATGACTCATAATCGAGTCATGTGTGAGACATAATATAATAAGTCATATGACCCAAATGAGTCATATGCGTGAAATAATAACATACCTATGACTCATAATCATGAGTCATGTGAAAACCACTTTCCATGCCAAGTCACGTTCATGACAAATACTGCTAAAATAGTTATCACAATAGGAGATAAACTGGTACTGTTAATAGGACAAAGCTGTAGCAAGCCGGAGTACTACATGTGAGGTTGGACTTAGTGGTAGGATTCCAGGTTCCAGATATGGTAACTCTGACAGTATGAACAGACCGACCGATAAAGTGTATCATTATCTCATCAATTGAGACTTCGGTAGTGGGTATGCAATACTGCTGAAAGTGCTGTTACAGAGTACTCGAAAGAGGATCCATCTTCTGATACTAGTGTTTACAGGATAAATTTTCGATTGGTGGCGAGACATGAAAGAATCGTTTTAGTTGCTCAAATTGTACTCGGCCCATATACTGAGATATTCTATATTTCAATTAATACTACTACTCTTCACTAATACTACATTTATATACAGACAGACCTCACTATCCTGGATGATCAAAACCCGGAGAGTCTATCGGGTACAATATGTGATCAAGGACTGTGGGTCAAGTTTTACTATAGAAATCTTTTGAACTCACAGCAATTCATACAGAACAGTAAGGTATCTGTATTTGAAATCTGAGGTAGTGAGGTTTGACTATACCTATGGAGTAGGGCAAGACCATCTTTCCGCCAGTAATCTGGTATAGTACTTGAAGGATACAAGCCCATATAGATAATCAAACCTACAAAAGCCATAATTTTTTCTGCCCAGATGGCATACCACTTTCGAGAACCATCTCTTCCTGCCTCTTTTACATTGGCATAAGCGTTCGTATTGCAAGCGAGATTTTCAAATTGCCGTTCGTCAAAAAGGAGCATAAAGAAGTCTAACGGGAATTTGGAAATATGGTGGTCTGAGCCAGGATCCCGAACAGCATCATCTTAATCAGAGAACCTATGGAGGAGGTTCAAGATCCTCTTATAGGATGGTCTTGTGTATTTATATAGCTCAAAAGGTGGAACTGGTGGTAGAGCCCATATGAGAGCCAGTTCTTGCTGATTGTCCTCCACCCTCTCCTCGTCACTGCTACCTTCCTCACTCTCATTTCCTCCTAGAACTTCACCTTCCAGACCTTCATTCTCCAGCGGGACCTCATTCTCGGTGTTTTCCTCGTTGTTGATAATCTCTACTGCAATCCCTTCTCTAAGTCCTTCCAGTCGTCCAACTCCAAATCCATAGAATTCACCTTCCCATTCGTCACTCTTATAAGCTTGATTTGAATTATCCATCACTGAGACTTGAACTTGGAATTGAGATTCCTTGACACCTGAGACTTTGACCGAAGACTCTCAATATGAGAAAAATGTAGCTGGAGCAACTAGATTGCTAGGATTTGACTTAGGATGTGAAAGCACAAAGTATCTACCCAAATCCCCACCACCTGTACTTTTGCGCTTATCACATTACCAAGCCCCTCACATGGTATATTACATCACCCTGATCGCTTACCCTTTTGCCTAGTTTAGTTACGCTCATAATCCACGCTATCAGCTTAGCCTTCAGCCACAGTGTTTGAATACAGGTTAAGGGATAGGAGGCTTGAAATTTCCAATCACCCATTACCCCGCTAGGTGGGAAAGGATACCAGCTGCTACTCTAAATGCGGCATCGCGGGATCTGTCAGACCCCGTCAGCGAGTGTGAGGCTTCGATACTCGTACTAAGTACTCTCAATCTCATAAGCTATACCCTAGGGGCTTAGTCACGGAGATTGGCAGCCCCGGAGATAGTAGATTCCGGGGGTTCTTTCGGTACTCCACGGGTACCGGTAGTGCATCGGCCTCATCGGCCACCCCAGCCCACAAGGAAGGAAAGGTGAAGAAAGAGGAAAAGAGGGAAATAAAATAGGCAAACGTATGTACCGGTACTATGACACCGGTAATACCCTACTCGCAGAGTAACTCAACTGTTTGTTCCACAAAAACTCCTTCCAGAAGCGCCCCGGAATAAATTTATCCTTCCCCCAATCCTAGGCACGTGGGGAAACTTCTTTCTCGGTTCTCCCTCCTTCTCGCACATGGAGTTTTGTGTAGCCCCCCGGTAGACAATTATGACACAATTCAACTGTAGGATATCGGGTGGGGTAAAGGGAAGTCTATTTTAGCTGCTAGAAAAGTGCAGTAAGGCGCTGGGTGGGAGGACCCTGGGAGAGGGGTTTGGCGCTAAAACCGGTCAGGGGGAATTAAAGGGGTGAGAAGGGGATGGATGATGGGCAAGCATCGTGCCAGTACAAGTACCGTACAGTACCAGTGTCGTGCTCGAGTATGAGAAGGGAGGGGAATAGGATTAGTAGGCGCGATTTGTGGAATGAGGAAGGGGTTGCGATGACCAGTGCATGGTATGGCATGGAGATGGATGAGGATGAATGAATGAGATGAATCAATGGGAGGGAAGATGAACAGGGCGGGCGGTGTACTGTACAGGTAGAACACTTGTGCTGTAACTCGTCGGATAGGGGAAGGGAGAAGGTGCTCGAGGGTGCTGATCTGAGTTAGACCATATCCTATGATACCGCATCGTACCGGCACTGTGCTAGCACTGGTACTGTACCTACCTACCTGGGGTTGGGGATGTATGATATTTGGTTTCTTTTTCTTATTTATTTTCTATCTCCCTTTCTCTCTTCTCGTCCTTTACTCGTATTAAATAAAGAGTCTTTCTTCTTCTCTTTCCCATTTTTCCCTCTTCCCTCCCTTCTGTGAACGGTACTGCACCACGGCGGCATCTTACCCCTTTAAGTGGAACTTTCTACGGTAGCGTGGTCTCACGAACAAGTGTCCTCGGGATACATGCGGTAGCTGAGGCGAAGCGAGAACGACACCAGAGAGAGAGAGGGGAAAGGACAGGAGTGCGGTGGACTCGAGTTTGCCTTTTGAAAAGGGGAATCGAGAGAGGAGAGAACAAGGCAAATCGCGAGTGCAAAACTTGACTCGACCAACGTTATCATAATTAATAGAGCTGGCGAGGCTTTGGACCTTGACTACATATTGCCAGTACTCCGTACACCGCCCTTCAAAACCCTACCGGTATCCAATAACCTACAACCGGAAGCTTCCTTTCTATTACTGCAGCGAAGAGAGCAAGCAAATACAGCTGAGCTCTTTCGTCATTTTGCCACTCTTCCCTTTCTTCCCTTCTCTCCTTCTCCGTAACTCGCCGCAGCAGCAATAACGACGGCAGCAACCCTATTTTACTTTTTTTTTTCTTTCTTGTCCGCTCCTGCTTCTCGGAACGACTAGATACGTTACGATCCGGTAGATACCTCGGTCGGCATCACTGGTATCCCTTACCCAGCTACATATCATACATGCATACATACCTACATTCATCCATTCATCCATTCATACATACATCCATCCATCTGTCCATCCATACTTACATACCTACATACCTTACCGACGACGACGAGATTTTTGCTCCTTTCCTTCATTCTTGACGCACACACGCTTCCACGTCTGGCGAACGGGAGGAAAACGGTCCACTCAAGCAAGGCGAGGGGTCGCACACGCAGAAAATTGAAAACTGCACCGCAAATCAATCACACAACCAGGCCTAAGGTCCTAATCGAGTAGGTTTTGCGGTACCGTGCATCCCCCAATCCAACCGAACCCATCCACCAACCGCCGTCATCACGAGGGAAAAGAAGGTGTGTGTGTGTGTCTCTGTGTGTGTGGGAAAAACTTGAGAATCTATCCATCCATCCACATTCTATTGATTAAAATTTTTTTTTTTTTAACTCAAGCCATGCCACACTCTACATTCCATACCTCCTCCCCCTCCGAGGTAGTGTCTACTACCCAAGAGGGTTTAACCATCGCTTCTTCCACCCCATCAACTTCGCCGACACAAACACACGCACAAGCACAAGCACAAGGAGTCGTCGCAACACCAGTAGCAATAGGAATCTCGCATCAACACCCACACCTCCTCCATCTACACTCACACCACCACCATCAAAACATCCACACGAGCAAACAAGTCAAGAAACGTCTCCACATGCGGTCGAAATCCACCTCCACCACTACCACTACCACCCTCTCCTCGCACTCCTCATTCTCCTCCCCATTCTATCACCACCACCACCAAAATAACCCACAAACATCAACAACACCTCGCATCTTCGCCTCCCCGCTCCTGAGGAGTTCCTCCCTGCCCCTCGCGCCAGGGAACTCCTCTTCACCACCAACAACCCCCCGGACACTCTGGATGCGCGCGTACCCGCCTCCATCCCCGATCCGAACCTCGACACCCTCCCCCCCACCCCCCTCCCTAGTTAACGAACCATTCGTCTCTTCCTCCTCGTCATCGATAACCTCTTCCTCCTCCCCATCAACGCCCACAAGCCTCCGCTCGCGCAGCCCATCCATTTCATCACTAGAGACGATACCCGACTCCCCGGATGCGGAGGAGGAAGAGGAAAAGGCCGTCGAAGCGTTGAAGGAGGAGTGGGACTCGCGCAGGCGGAACACACCTAGTCGGAGTGCTAGCGCGGACAAGCGCAAAAGGTGGAGCGTGTGCGGAGCGGAGAAGAGGAGCGACCTGGAGCTGGAGACGATATGGGAAGAGGCCAGCTTCGGCGTGGAGATTGTGGGTAGGGGCTCTTGTGATGGGATGGGTGAAGGGGAGATGATTTGATTTCAACCCCCTCTTTTTTTCTTTTTTTTTTCCCCCCCTTCTTTCTTTCTTATTTTTTGGCTTTATTGTTTGGGAGCGAGCAAGCGGGGAAGTTGGAATAATGGCGTTGTAATTTTCATGTTATTTTCCCTTTCTTTTCATTACTGTCTTTTACTCTGGGGTTTTTTACTTATCTGCTTGCTAGCTTTCGGGCACTCTATACCCCCCTCCCCCACTCATCATCAACATTCACATCACTTGTGTTCTTACCCCCTCCCTTGCATACAGACATAAGCATCATACCAAATCCTTTTCATTGTCATCATTTCTTTTTGTCACCTTTTTACTACTACTACTTTAATCCTAGGTGAATGAAGGACGAAGCGATGGGCATTTATAGAATGGAACAAAAAAACAATGGAAATGAAGGTCATGTATTTTTACGATGAGAAAATTGTCGGATTAGTTAGATTCGTAGTGGGGAAATTGAAACGAACAAATTTTAAAAAAGATGGTGTGGTCTTTAGTTTTTTTTTTTTTTTTTTTCGAGGACCGGGCGTGACGCTTGATGGGAGAACTATTTTCCGTTGCCGACCGCACCGCGTTCACCCCCTTTGCAAGGGAAGAGGGGGGGGTTGAGGCCTCAAAGGTGCGTAAGGCGCAGTGTTAGGCGCTTGTAATTTACTCGTATGCTCGAGAGGGGGGTTAGTAAGAGTGCCCTAGGCCTGAAGCATTATCATAATATGATATGCTACAGCCTACAGTACGTACGATCTGGGCAACAAAATTCGTGTTCCCCCCCCTTCCTTCCCCAGATCTCAAACATCATGCATCAAAATTAACATGACAAGAGCCTCTTAAAATTACGATACCTACAAAAAAAATAAAGAAAAAAAAAAACATTGTCCTACCAGCAAATGGATCACGACCAGTCAGCAGTAGAGAGAGTTCCCACACACTCCTGGTTGGATTTTGGAGAATCCCCAGAGCATGGAATTGAATAAATCCGCAATCCACACTGGTAGTTAGTTATACTTCTTTATTACATATTTGGCGTGATATATTGTCTTGCTATTTTGGTTAAAATATTTCCAAGATGCGATTGGAAGGGTTGGTAGAGCTTGAAGAACTGCTGCAAGTTGTTGTTGTTTATTTTTGATGCTTCGGGATTCAAGTTGAAGGATATATATTATATATATATCTGTATAGCTTATTCTTGCTCCTCCGGGGTTTCAGGAAATTGCTGAGCAGCTATCGGGGTTCTATGGGGGCTCAAGTTATTGGAGACCGGGCACGGGATCTGGTATAATATGGTACGGGTGAGACGGGAGTTTGGTATCCTACTTTTACAAACGAACTCATATCTTCGCCCAATTTCAATACTATTTAGTGCGACGAGAAGAATGGGATTCACTGGAGCTGTCCAGTTCAAATGCGTTAACAGATGGTAAGTATGTTAGAGACTGGAAGAATGTTAGGGAGTGGAAAGGCATGCAGACACAATTAGTAACTCCACTATGTATACAGTAGAATCGCATTGTAAATATACCGTGAAATAAAATAAAAATCCCTTTGTTCTGATTTTGTGACATGGTATCACATCATAATGGTCGTTGCTAACTTAGATGGTGGGAGAAGGACACGAATTCTTTTTTGTTGCCAAGCTCGCGCAGTGCCATACGAGTACAGTACAGTACAGGTAAGGTACTCGCCAGCCTAACTTACCGGTAATTATTTCTCCACCACCATCACCAAATCCACCCATCCTGAAAGCCTACCTACCTACCGGTACTCTAGCAAACTGCAACAGCCCTGACATAGAGTTATCCGCTTGGAATAAATAAATGAATACGCCTACTGGTCAGAATTCTTTTGGTCCACTAACCACTCCCGACCGGCCTCTAATCTAATCCCCGGATTCAGTGACAAAGGCTCTCGAGCAGCCCCACACCAGCCCGGTCCTTCTGGACTTTGCCGAATCATTAGCTGGCTTTTATGCGATTTCGTTAACTTTCCAAATAGGGTTCTTGTGACGCTCTCCGCCGGTCCGATGGCAGGTGGCGAGTTTTTCCTTTGTTTTTTAAGGTATCGGTTATTGTGCTTCTATGATTCAACCTTTCTACTTGGGTGAATCCGGGGTAAATAGGATCAAACCAAATGTCACGTCACACGATGCCATACCGTGCAACGATATGTACCCTACTGTACTCGTAGCGCGGTGATGCACGCAGACAAAGATTGGCCAGAACCTCGGAATTTGGCTGTATGCAACGGCAGTCTGTTTTGGGAGCGTCATGGCATTACCGGTAGGAGTACGCCCGCATAGGCTCCGAGTGACCCACTATGACTCCCGATCTCAGGCATCCCACTTATTCCATTTCGGTCCTCCTGCATTGTGACGAGTGGGCGAGCCTTGTCGTATTTCTGCAGTAGCAGAGGTCTGATAGCGAGGCTGACTCTGAGATGTGCCTGAGTTCCGAGTCTGGGTGGTGAGTAGGTGGGATATATAAGCCTAACTATGGTCGCCCTCCTTGGAGGGAGGGGAGAGAACAGGGTTTGACTGACTAACTTTCTTACCTCTATATCTACCTCCACCTCAACCTTTTCCTTTACCCTTTACCTTCACCTTTTACATTTTTGATCATTGTCTTCCTCGTGGGTTGGATCCGGTTAAGCCAGGCTGATTGATTAGGAAGCTGCCAGGTCATACGCCACCGCCATGTTTTCGTTTTTTGGGGGAAGGTAGGCATCCCCATCCCGGTTATCCAGGAGAGAGAGAGAGGTGGGGGATGCTAATATACGAGGATAGTAAACGACCAAACACCCAAATACCATTCATCCTTTACAAGCAGCATGACCGGAAGATGCCCCCATGCCCGCTAAAGCCCGATGCTTGGGAGAGAGCACTGGAAAAGTACTCCGACAAGAACTATACAAAATCGCTCGTCGGGATGTTGAGGTATGGCGCGCTGATCGGATACACCGGTTCTCGAGTTGGCCAGAGAATATACAGGAACCACGGCAGTGCACGAGAGCAGCCTGAACTGCTCGTCAAGGATTTAATGGAACAGCTGGGGAATAAGAGGTTAAAAGTTTACAACGCGCGCGACCAGTTACCACCCTTCTTTGTAAGTAGTCCGATTGGACTGGTCGACAAGAATGATGGCAACAAGAGGAGGATTCACGACTTGAGCTACCCAGACGGCTTCAGTGTTAATGACGGAATTCATGGTGAGAGAACAAAGGTTGTGTTTGCCACTCTGCAAGATATTATGGCTATTATGAGAGAGATGGGGACCGGGTGCTTTTTTATAAAGCGAGATTTCAAGGATGCCTATCGCCATATCCCTATCTCTCCAACAGACTCAAAGATGCTCGGGTTTGCGTGGGAGGATGAATTTTTTGAGGAATTGTTCCTCCCCTTCGGCCTCTCGTCCGCACCTTTTTTGTTCAATTTTGTTGCGGAGGGATTTCATTGGATCCTCGAGCAGAGGTTGAAACCTCTCAAGGGAAAGGTGATCCACTATTTAGACGACTTTCTCATAGTGTTGCCTAGAGGGTCGAAATGGAGGAATGCTGCCCGGATCTTTGATGAAACCGCCGAAGAACTCGGACTTATGGTCAAGACATCGAAAAATCGTGAAGGGGAAGTTACCGACTTTGTGGGGTTTGAGCTTGACTCGCAACGGATGGTGGCTCGCCTCGCACAGGAAAAGCTTGAAAAAACCAGGATGCTGGTGTCAAGCTGGGTGGATAAGCAGACTATTTCCACAAAGCAGCTGGAGATTCTGCTTGGGAAGCTGGATCGTGCGAGCACGGTGGTCCCTGTGGGTAGAACCCACTGCCGGGAATTGATCACGCTGCAGGATAAGTGCCCATCAGGCTCTAAGAATGGCGAGAATAAGGCCATCAGCATATCGGACGGGGCGAGGAAGGAGTTGGAATGGTGGCGAAACGTCTTGACAACCAACCCCCATGTCAAGGTGCTTCCCTCAAATAGGAAGACTATAGAGGTGTTCACAAATGCGTCCGGGTTCAAGGGGATGGGAGGCTATTACCTAAAGGAGAAACAGGGCCTTGCGAGTCTGCCGGCGGAACAATACTTCATGAAACCTCACCCAGAAAGAAACACTCGGGAGAAAGACCCGCTCCCGAAAGAACTGATGGCGGTGGAGGAGGCATTAACACTGTGGGGCCCAGCGCTGAAAGGATTCAGGGTGGTGTTCAATACATCCTGTGTAGGAGTGGCATTCGGACTACTTCACCGTACTATCCACAATAGCGGCCCCCCCTCAGATACCCTGAAGCGGATCTTGTTACTCGGACAAAGACATGATGTTGATATTTGGTCCCACTGGATCCCAAACGAAGACAACGAGCTTGCGATTTGCCTTTCGCGGTTTGAAAGGCACAGAATTCATGCGCTAGCTCCGAAGCTCTGTGTGCTGGGAGGTTAGTCTGTATCTCGGTTTTCTCGGACTGTTTCTTATTGACATGGCAGAAAGCCGAGCAATGCGATACGAAAGTCGGTTCTCGCCCTCTGAAAGCCGGTTCGCACCCACCGAAGGCCAGTCCTCAATCACCCAAAGCCGGTCCGCACCCACCGAAGGCCAGTCCTCAACCACCGAAAGCCGGTTCTCACCCGGCAAAAGCCGATCATCAGCCTCCGAAAGCCGGTTCTCAACCTCAGAAAGCCGGTTCTCGCCCTCTGAAAGCCGGTTCGCACCCACCGAAGGCCAGTCCTCGCCCACCGAAAGCCGGTTCTCACCCTTCAAAAACCGATCCTCAGCCTCCGAAAGCCGGTTCTCAACCTCAGAAAGCCGGTTCTCACCCTCCGAAGGCCAGTCCCCACCCTCCGAAAGCGGGTTCTCGCCCTCCGAAAGCGGGCCCCCACCCCCCGAAGGTCGATCCCGACCGTACGAAAGTCGATTCACGCCGCCGGAGGGCACCAAGCAAATAAATAATAAGGCATCCCGGCAACGACGGACGCTAGTATCTCGAAATTTCTCCTATGCGCCACCTAAACCAGATCCCCCACAATCATTACCACAATCACCACCGCCGTCACGAACGCCGTCACCACCACCACCACCATATAAGCGGACGCCATCTCCTCCACCTCCAAAGGAATACCAACAACCAACAACCAAACCCAGAGCCCCACGTAGAAAGCCTCGCAAAGTAGCATTAGCCTCAGGGTCAGAGGCGGAAAAAATTCCGGTCGATGTAGAGAAAAAGCAAGATGGCGATTTGGGGGTCTGTATCATATTCATGGCACTATTCTGGTTGCTTTTCAGTTTTATATGTAGGCTAGTTCGCTTGCTCTGGCGGCTTGTTAGATTCGTTGCTGGGATATGAGAGTTGATCAGGTTATCTATTTTACAAAATTTTCGTACTTTCATATCTTTCTCTCGAGTTAGTTATTTTTTCCCCTCCCGTATATTTGTAGGCCGAATTCAAACTTTCCACGGATACGAAGGGGATGCGATGAAATAGGGGGAAGAAGAGGG